TTAATAAATGTTTGGGCGCTGACGAAACAACTTGATATGGCTAAAAGAATGATTTAAAAAAAGGGCAGATGATAGAAAAATAAAACATGATACATTCTGGCTTTTTTTTAATCTAATAAATTAAAAAATAATAAATTAATAATAATAATAATAACCATAATAATTTGATCATGTTTGATTGTGTAGGTTTGTTCATTTACTAAGAAAAAATAATCTGTCTCAAATGATAGTTTTATAGACAAAAAAAAAAAAAAAATCCAGAAAAAAAACCCACACACTGTAAAAATCTAAAATTATAAACTGATTTAAGATTTGATACAATTACAGTTGTTTAATTTTTTTAAGTATATTCAGGGACTTTTTTAATGAAGAACTTTTGTTTAAGACAGTTTGAACTTTTGAAGTCATCTTGATCCAGGAGTTGCCAACTATCCATCCATCCATTATCTTTACCCGCTTATTCCATTTTGGGTCACGGGGGTCAAGTTGCCAACTAACATTAAAAAAAAAAAATGTCTACAACTTCAACCATGTTACAAATATTGACCTAAATCTTGACGTGGTAGAAGCTGAGACTGCTCACAAACATATTCTGAGCTCAAATTGTGCCTAAAACCTTTGACTAAAATTTATATACTTTCAGTCAACTTTGTCTTTCCGTCACCAAGATATCTAAAAAATTTAGTATCTTACTAAAGCTTTAAAGAAATACCCATTAAAGAAACTTACCTAATTAAATTTTAGCGCCAACTCTAAATATGACAACTCACCATAGAATACACAAAAATGGCTAAAATTCAGTCATTTGCTGAAACTTGATCTAATATCTGAGCATCCTTCTCAGCTTGGAAATGTGCAATATTACTTGGAATTACACAAAATGTTAATTTGAAGGTTTAACCAAAAATAAAATAAAATACGGCTTCCACTTCATCATTTCTGAAAATACAATAATTTTAGTCTAAAGCTCAGGAATGATATGAATATGAATTCCTTCAGGGAATGATTCACTTTTAATTCCTAAAGAAATCCTTTCACTGGTGTCACACACAGACCAACTGAATGCAGACTCATTCTCAACCCCATATATATAAATATATATATTATCATGTAATATATATATATATATATATATACTATAATATATTACCCAACTTATTACTGCTGTTGGCTTCTTTCACCAAATTTTCTATTGATTAGCATCAATGGCCAACGGCCAAATCCATTTACAGTTCTCTGATTTTATCCTTCTCATGTAGATAAAATTGTTTTTACTCCATAATTCACCTTCTGACGTTCATATCTGCCTCTTAATTATTATTTATCATCATAAAAACCAAATGAGAACATCCTCTCGGAGTAACTCATGTCAAACAAACGTAAACCAAAACATGATCAAATGATTCGCGATCAGTCGTATCTTCTCACAGTCGTTCTCTCTTTACCATTATCCAGTGTTTTTTACTTTTTTCTGAGCTCTCACTTTGACTTTTCTGCGTATGTCCTTTAAAAAAGTTGCTGAGTCTCCTCCTGATCTGCTCCTGTGATTTTTACGACTCACTTAACGAGCTGGAAAGAATCTGCGAGCTCTGCTAAAAAACTGTTCCGCTAAAGAGTCCACCTCACTATAACATATTTACTGTAAATAATGGTGAACTTTATGAGCAGTACATGGGCTTAAAGAAGTGTGTGGGTTTCCACCAGCGAGCACCAGGAGGAGATGGAGGTGGAGGAGGAGGTGCACTGGTAATGGACACAGTGGTGATGTGGGAGTTAAGGCTATATGAGAAAAAGGCAATTGTTGCACTGAAGGGGAATATGACCTGAAGCAGTGTAGATGTGATGGAGGACTTTGAATAAATGTCAACTGGATATATTTAAATGGTAGAACATGCCCCTTTTACACCCTCCAAAAGAAGGAGAGCAGCAGAAGCACATGTCAGTCAGATGCATGGGTGGATTTGGTCATGTGTCAGTCTACAATTGTGCAACTTCTCATTTTAGACATTCAGAATCCTGGAAAACCTTTTGGAAATAAATCTGAATATATTGGAAAATATAGTGCTGCAGAAGCTCGCTCGGCCTGTGCCGTGGTCTTGTAATCCTGACACTGTGGGTTTGAGCCAAAGTTGCATCAGGAAGAGCATAAAAAAAAAATATATATATATATATATATATATATTTTTTTTTTTTTTTTTATGGAAATATCTTTGATGAAAGTTCATTCAATGCAGTGAGCCCTGGAAGCAGACAAAAGGTAAAACAACAAGAAATATTCTAAAAAATGTGTGTGGGGGACAAACGGATGGATGCAATAAAATTCACTGGAGGATACAGTTTTTATAATTACTTATTTGTAAATTAACTTTTAGAGGACCATAAAAATTTCTTGGTTGGATCCAAGTAAATGAAAGGTGTCTGCCGCCCCCGTGTGGACAACAGTTGTTACTACAGAGCGGCCTGTTCACTTCCACTTCAGAATCAGAATCAGTTTATTATTGCCAAGTCAATGAACGAGGTTCACAAACTAGGAATTTGCTTCGACATAAGGTGCGAATAGTAATAAAGTAAAATAAAGTAAAAATGAAGTAAAAATGAGAACATTACATAAGACCTGTGTACACCCACAAATAAAGTAAAATTAAAAACATAACATAACCATATGTACACTCCACTTAAGTTTAAATACTCGTTTTATTGGGCTTGATCTAACTGCAACAGAAATTATTCAGTGTTCTGTGAAAATGATGGCCATCTGACGGTAAACAATGTGAACATAAACACCAAAGCAGGTCTTATAATTCTCCAAAGGGATTTAAAAAAATTGCTCTGGCCTTTTTGTGTTGAACTGTTTAGTAGGCTTCTAGGTTTTTTTTTTTTTTTTTTTTTTTAATCAGTGCATTAACTTCAGCACCAGTGAAAATGAAAGGTTCATTAAAATGTGTGTAAATGTTAAAAATGCATAACTTGTTTTCTTTGTTTCAGCTTAAACTCAACAAGAACTGGGCATGAGATCATCGCCCCAGCCTAAATATGAGCATCATGAAGGCCAAGAAGGTCTACCAGAGGAGAGTAACAGCAGGCAGGTTTGGCCAGGAGTCCAGCACCTCACCAACTAGCAATCATGAAGCTGCTGAAGGTGACATTTCACTGGCAGACGATCTGAACCACTTTGTTGCCCGTCTAGAGGTGGAGCCATCAGAAGCAGCTGTTCAACATCACCTCCATCTTCACGTTGGAGGAGCACAAGGTGAGATGTTTGCTGCAAGCGGTCAAACCAAAGAATGCTCATGATCTCCACAGTGTTCCTGGACGTGTCCTGAGGATCTCTGCAGAGCAATCGGCCATGCCCATGGTTTTCTCCAATATCTGCAACCTGTCATTCTTTCAGTTCCAACCTGCCTGAAGTCTTCAACCATAGTCCTTCTACCCAAAACATGTTGCCTCTGTGTTAACCAAGTGTTTCCAGAGACTGGTCGTTCAATGCTCCCAGTTTGCTGACAAGGTTAACAGATTTACTGAGGATGCTGTTCTATCCCACCTGGAGCACCAGGGGAGCTACACATGTCTCCTCTTCAACGACTCTCTCCTTTTAACACCATCCTCCCTCACAGACTGGTATATAAACTGTCAGCCCGGGACACCCATACTCCCCCGTCTCTAGATTAAGGACTTCCAGATGTACCACACACAAAGGATCAGGGTGGGCTCCCTCACCTCCTCAGCCATCAGAGCTAGCCCTGGTTCTCCACAGGGCTTTGTACTGAGCCCCCCACTCTTCGCACTGTAAACGCCCACAGCAACATCCTTCTACTTATACCAACTTTCCAAACCATCTTTGTTCAACCTGTGCTGTACCTCTGATGATCTCATCTTATCCATCCTTGTTACTCCTAAGGAGAACCTCAACATCCTCATTTCCACTTCCAGTTCTTTCTCCTGTCTTTTTGTCTCCAGACCATACAACATAACTGGTCTCACCACTGTCTTGCAAACTTTTCCTGTGACCTTTGCTGACACTCTTGTCACAAATCACTCCTGAAACTTTTCTCCATCCACCCCATCCTTCCTGGACTCTCTTCTTCACCTCTTTACCATGCTCCCATTTTCGTGGAAGTCCTTCTTGAAGTCCTGCACCTTTGTGACCTCTGCTCCTTGTAGCCTCACTGTTCCACCGGCCTCCCTCTCATTCACACACATGTACTCTGTCTTACTACATTCATTCGTCTTCTTTCAAGTGCATACCTCCACCTCTCCAAGTTCTCTTCCAACTGTTCCCTTCTGTTTTGATGAACTCACGTTTGTTTTGGTAGAAAATACTTCTTGTATGTATAAAAATGTCAAACCACAAGTTTGCACGAGCTAATTTCTGTTTTTCTGTCAGCACTTTGCAAGCATGTATCAGTGGGTGTCATGAACATAAGTGAAGGCCCGATTAGGGTTAGTCTGTTAGAGATATAGCCCATGATCCACTAGTTGATTCTGACACTTCGTTTTGCATGTCTTTACATCTTCACTTGCATGAAATATTATTTTGGAGAAACGGACTGGCTGCTGCATGAAAAAAAAAAAAAAGAAAGAAGAAGAATCTGTGCCAGACTCACTCAGATCTTTGCTTCCTTTCCCTTCCAGCTAAAACATCCTGTCTCTATGGGCAACAGTGCAAACAAAACAACACGCTGATTTAATACATGTGGAAAAAATTTCATCAGAACCAAAGCAGACAATGTGAACAGTCTCTTGAAATGTCATCAATGTGGGCATAGAGGGTGGGTACTTAAAACAAGAGCAGACACGTTATTTAATGGAAGGCGTGTTTAACGCTTTAATTTGAAACCTAATTTTTGCATTTTGTAGTATCTTTTTTTTTTTTTTTGCCATACATGTCATTCCCATGATACATAGTGCCCTCTCTGTGAGCGTGAGGCCTGGACAGGCCAATTTGTTCCGGCTGTGCCCTGTTCCCGTTGCCATGGAGATGACGTAATGCTGCAGCACCGGTTGGAACCGCGCAGCCGCGGACTGATACACCGAGTGAGGGGGCTTAACCACATCCACAGGTCCCTTCCGCCGCCATTCTGTCCGACTGTCGCTGGAACCAACAGGGCCGAGACCGAGCAGACAGCAGCTAAAACCAGAGTCCATTTCCCCTCTAACGCACTCCCCACACCGCAGCGACAACATGCGTGAGATTGTGCATCTCCAGGCCGGCCAGTGCGGGAACCAGATTGGAGCAAAGGTATTGAAAAAAAAAAAAAATGGCGCTTATTAGCTTTCCGGCTATAACCGGATTTTTATATAGCTTTAAGCTAGTTTTAGCACTTTCCTACACGACGGCCTGCGCCGAACAGCACTGGAAGCTGTAAGTAGGTCAGTGTTGGGAAGTGTGGCGCAAAAGCATCCCTCAGGATGGGCGGTGGCGAGCCGAGACATCCCGACTGTTGCTGCCGAGCCAAGAGGAACCGAGCGACGGTTGGACGGTGCCTGCAGGGTTCGGTTCATTATGTGAATGAGCAAGATTTAAAACGTTTCCCCTGGAGATTTAATAATAAAGAGCCAGTGCTCGTGTACGTGCGCGCCCGTCTCCTCAGCAAGGGGTGTGGCTCAGACACCGAATGCACTGGAACACGTTTGATCACAATGATTGGAAAATGTTACTGTTTATTATCACTTGTGTGTTGATGTGATCAGTGTGAGTGGAAGCAGCATGTTCAGGTATGATTTTTTTTTTTCTTCTATTTTTGTGTCTAATCTGATTCACTGATCTGTTTATAGTTCTGGGAGGTGATCAGTGATGAGCACGGCATCGACCCAACCGGAACCTATCATGGCGACAGTGATCTGCAGCTGGACAGAATCAATGTCTACTACAACGAGGCCTCAGGTGTGGACCTCACACACACGCCGTCAGTGTAAGGTCGACTGTCTCTTCTAATCGGTCAAATTTACACTTCACCTTTTGCGTTCCAGGTGGAAAGTATGTGCCGAGGGCCATCTTGGTGGATCTGGAGCCAGGCACAATGGACTCGGTTCGCTCTGGCCCCTTCGGACAGATCTTCAGACCAGACAACTTTGTCTTTGGTATATAATTAGATACGCGTACTTATTGAAATACAATGTTTGTTTGGGCAAATGTAGGAATTCATAGACATTCTGTTGCTCAGGTGATCATCCCTAACCCTTTAAATTACAGGTCAGAGTGGAGCGGGTAACAACTGGGCAAAGGGCCACTACACAGAGGGAGCCGAGTTGGTGGACTCCGTCCTAGACGTTGTGAGGAAGGAGGCTGAGAGCTGTGACTGCCTTCAGGGTTTCCAGCTCACACACTCCCTGGGTGGAGGTACCGGCTCCGGCATGGGAACTCTGCTCATCAGCAAGATCCGCGAGGAGTACCCTGATCGTATCATGAACACCTTCAGTGTGGTGCCCTCTCCTAAGGTACGCTGTTTGGTCTCGCTGGTTCTCAGTTTTAAATGTTTGGCTCTATATTTCCTTGAACTCCGCTTGGCTTGTGCTCAGGTGTCGGACACTGTGGTGGAGCCGTACAACGCCACCCTCTCCGTCCACCAGCTGGTTGAGAACACAGATGAAACCTATTGTATCGACAACGAAGCTCTGTATGACATCTGCTTCCGCACCCTCAAACTCACCACGCCCACTTACGGAGACCTCAACCATCTGGTCTCTGCCACCATGAGCGGGGTGACGACGTGCCTGCGCTTCCCCGGCCAGCTTAACGCCGACCTCCGCAAACTGGCCGTCAACATGGTTCCCTTCCCCCGTCTGCACTTCTTCATGCCTGGCTTCGCGCCGCTCACCAGCAGAGGCAGCCAGCAGTACAGGGCTCTCTCCGTGCCGGAGCTCACGCAGCAGATGTTTGATGCCAAGAACATGATGGCTGCCTGCGACCCGCGCCACGGCCGCTACCTGACGGTGGCCGCCGTGTTCCGAGGCCGCATGTCCATGAAGGAGGTCGACGAGCAGATGCTGAACGTGCAGAACAAAAACAGCAGCTACTTTGTGGAGTGGATCCCCAACAACGTCAAGACGGCTGTGTGCGACATCCCGCCCCGTGGGCTCAAGATGGCCGCCACTTTCATTGGAAACAGCACGGCTATCCAGGAGCTGTTCAAACGCATCTCCGAGCAGTTCACCGCCATGTTCCGCCGCAAGGCCTTCCTCCACTGGTACACCGGCGAGGGTATGGACGAGATGGAGTTCACCGAGGCGGAGAGCAACATGAACGACCTGGTGTCCGAGTACCAGCAGTACCAAGACGCCACAGCCGAAGAGGGAGAGTTCGAGGAGGAGGGCGAGGAGGAAGTTGCCTAACGCTAACATCACTCATCTATTTTTTTCGTCTACACTCATCCGTTCATTTTCTTCAGCCCTACTTTCTCCTTTTTGGTGTTGTTCTTCCCCAGTTCCTTTTTCTCTCCACCTCCATTCCATTTTCTTCCAGAGTAGGACTCACGTACTGAACTCATCGTTTTCAGAGCCCATGTAGGTGTAGCTAACTCGGTTGTGATTGTGGTATTTTCGTCAGTAACTTTCAGTTCATCACCATCACTGTTCCACACCTGGACCAGCTTCACTACACATCAAATTTGGCATTAATTGAAATAAAGGTTATTGAAAAATGCTCTTTGCTTTCTGTGTAAATCAGTTCAGTACTTTCTGACACTAGCTTTGTTTCAAAACAGAAGTTGTCTTCAGCATTCATTCAACTGGGATGACACAGATGAAGCTGGCCAAAATGGAGACCTGCAGTTCTCCTCAACACCACAAGAGGGCAGCATTAACAGCTCAGGGACTCAGCAGGATGAAATTGGCCTTTTTTAATTTCCAGCCATGAGATTTGAGGCCCATGCTGCTTTCTAATAATTTATTAGGAAGATATGTGCAATGTAAAAGTCTCTTATCTTTTAACTGTTTGTAACCGAACATGAGCATCCATCATAAATCGAGTCATAGATTTTTCAGTCTTTAATATTGAGGGATTAAAAAAAATTAGATGGCTCGGTTAAACTTGAGATGATTTGTATTTGGAACAGGTTTTCCAAAATTATGACGCTCGGAGCCGAAATGAGAAGAGTGCAAATTTAGGAGAAGTGTTTATCACCGAGTTTAGAGGTTGTCTCATCACATGCACGTCATTTACACATTGACAAGAACACATTGACAGAAAGCAGGAAGTGTTCAGCCACTCCAGCGCTGACTTAGCAGACTGCTGCTGTCATCTCTGATCATCAGAGCTGTGTCAGCCACCGTACCTGCTGACTCCTCCAGGACAAACACATGGAAACAGTCACATTTAGACAGGATGGGCTCCAGATTGAAGTAAGTTCTTTTAAAATGCAGTTTATTGACCTCCATCATCATCTCCACGCTGTTTGTCACTCAGCTCTTGTGGTTTTAGTACTTCCTCTCAGAACTGCACAGGAAGTTTCCTGCAGCAGCTCTGCCGTCTATTATATGCTGCTTTTACTCTCAGCAGGACTTGTTCTTCTCACAGGGTAAAAGTATCTAATCATTTTAGAAATGTAATACGCTGACACATCTGTCTGTAGAATTTACTTCCTGTCTTTGGTAAATGTCCTCGCTTTATCAACTGTTTTATCGTGAGCCCTGATCAGAAACTTGTGCACAGCAGGTCAGGCTCTGAGTCATGAGCAGCAGTTTGTTTCTGCATTAATGAGATGGTGCTCGAGTAATCTCATGTGAACGATGTGAAATGTCTTTCCTGTCAGACAAAACCCCGAGCGAACGTTCAACTGGTTCTTTGAAGCAACATGTCCTGTAGCCAGAGACAAAGGTGAGGCCTTTCTACGCTTTCTCTGCAGCACCTGAACGTGCTCTAAACCGTCGAGTGTGTTTGACCTGTGGAGCTCTGCATCAGCTCTCACAGAGAAATTTAGACTCTTTGGAAAGATGCAGTGGCACCTATTGAACTTTATTCTTGGACACATTCGTTAAAAAAACTGCACAATTAAAAACAATATTAAAGACTAATCTTTGTTAGTAGCTTTTGATTCAAGTGCGACACATTGATTTGACCTATAATCTGTTTTACGCAAAGGTTGAAATGAGCTTTTCTACGACCGATGCCGATTGTTAGAAACACCATCCATCCATTATCTTCACCCGCTTCTTCCTTTTTGGGTCGCGGGGGTCACTGGTGCCCATGTCCAGCAGTCACTGTGCGAGAAGGGGGGGACACCCTGGACAGGTCTCCAGTCCATCACAGAGAGACAAATGAGACAAACATTCACTCTCTCACTCACACCTAGAGTTACCAATCAGTCTATACATGTTTTTGGTCTGTGGGAGGAAACCGGAGTGCACGGAGAAAACCCACGCATGCACGGAGAGAACATGCAAACTCCACCCAGAAAGGCCCCCAGCAGGGATTCGATTTGACGACCTCAGTGAGAAGCGGCAGCTCTACCAACTGAGCCACCACCACAATTGTATTTTTTCCTCTGGCCAATGTGTGTTCTAAAATTAATTCTTCATCTTAACTCCTCATACATATATGCAACAACCACTTCAGTTCAGTTTATTTTATATAACGCCAAGTCACAACAGAAGTCATCTCAGTGCACTGAACAGAAACATTCACATACATAAAAAGCCAATCAGTAAAGTTCTCTATCTAAGGACGCCCACAGACGTGTCAAATCTTCACTTTGTCACAGTCCTTCATCCTGAGCAAGCACAAATGAGACAGTGGAAAGGAAAAACTCCCTTTTAACAGGAAGAAACCTTCAGCAGAACCAGGCTCAGGATGAGCAGCCATCTGCTTCAACAAGCTGCGGATTTAAAAATAATTAATAATAAAGTGTACTCACTTCAAATATTTGAAACTGTGCTGTGAGCTGGATGTAGCAGCTGCTGCATCTTCATTGGTAAATGAATGAACATGGTCAGCATGGCCGACTGCTGATTTTATTAATCAGGCCAATACTACTTTATTTACAAGAAATGCTCTTGGCTGTCTTTATTTTATTTCTCACCGCTTTTATTTGACTCGGTTTGATTTGATTACTTTTGTTTGTGAACAAAATGACCAGCAATAGTTTTCTGTCTCCGTCTCTTCGCGGGGCCCTTGCTTGATGACACCATGTTGCATAAACTGTGTGCGCACACAGACTGCACATAAATAACCACACTGATCTGACCAGTATTTGAAACTAGCCATGAAATATTAAAACGTGCAGGTTAAAAAGTATATTTTACTGTTTGAATCTGTTTGTTTGTGCTGAGCTGATCTCATCCTTCCTGTCACATGATGATAAAAACCACAGACCGCCTCGGCACACATGATCTGAACAAGTGGAGGAGTTAAATATCAAACACTCAAAATAATTTAAAGTAACGTCACTTAAGACATATATTTTTAATCCCTTTTGTTTACTTCCTGTGAATAACCTTTAAATGTTTCACTGATGCTTTTGTGTCAACCTGTTCATTCTCTTTGTTCTAAAATCTCAGATCCTGGCGTGACGTTCCAGTTTCCAGAGGACTTCAGCGATGAGGTAGCTACTGGTGCTCCTGGAAACAGCTTTGACTTTAAAACCAACCAGATAAAATTCAACCCAAAGTGCTTCACAAAGATAAAAGGATACATTTAACATGCAGATCATCTTTCAGTGTTTTGGACTAAGATCATATGTTGAGAAACGTAGCTGTTTGGGTCAATCTTGATAATAACATGATCTCATGCAGCATCTCGTGTGAGCTGTTTGCCTTTAGAGTATGTTTTGTCCATTTACTACCAATTATGGTGGCTCCTAAATTAACCTGTCGTAGATGAACAGTCAATAATTACGTCATAAAAGTTTCATTGAAGTCCATCCAGTGGTTTATGAGAAATTTTGCTAACAAACAGGTTGATTTTAAGAGATTTTCCAAGGTTTTGAGCAACTGTGTCGCACGTGTTTCACTCAAAGTATGTGTTTGGGACGATGCTACACCAAACAGATTATCTGTGAAAATGCTTGAAATGTGGCCATTTTTGTGTTATCTATGTTACGTTGGCTGTGACATCCATCTTGAATTGAGTTGCCTCCAAACGTTCATCAGTTGTACATCATGAATGATTTTTGAAAGTTTTATTAAGATTCAGTCGGTAATATGCTAACAGACACAGATGGCATGATTTAATTTCGTTGGATTTTTTTCTACCTGGATTATTGAGCATGAGCTTTGATGTTTTTGAACCACTTTGGCTATAGTTGCCTCAGAGGAGATGACAGGGGAGAAGGCGGGCCCCAGAAACCATCTTGTCACCAGCAAACTGGTTGGTCCACTATGTGAGTGAGCAGCATGTGGGACTGAGTTTGCTGTGGCTCCTCGGACTGATGAAGTCCTTTGGATTTTTTTTTTTTGGCTGCTCCCTTCTTCAGGGGTCTAAGCCGCACAAAGTCTTGGCAAATTATTTTAACACCTGATGCCCTTCCTGATGCAACCACAGACCACCAAGCTACCACAGCCCTCTGTGTGGAGCAGAGAGCAGCTATCTAGGGCATCCGGGGGAGCAGATGGTGGGGGTTAAGGGACTTGCTCAAGAGCCCAGAGTGGGGTAAATGAGGGTGGAGGCAGGTGTGGGTGTTTCACCTTTCCCACCCATATTTTGATCTTGTCAGTACCGGGAATTGAGCTGGCGACCTTCCGATCACAGGCTCACCTTCTCTAACCTCTGTGCCACCACTCCCTGATGAAGTCCTTTGGATGAAGGACGAAACGTTTCAACAAAAAAAAGATCCAGATGACCTGACTGAACTTTGTTGGATTTTTTACCTGGATTATTGAGCATGAACTTTGAAGTTAATGGTATAGTTTTAAACACATACACACACAACTATCACATCCCAACATTAGTTCTCAAAATCATATTTAAAAATAAAATAAAAACCTGCAGAGACAAAGTTATCACAGGTATTTGCAACTGTGGTTGAATAACGTCACATCGGATGAATGATGTATTAAATCTAACAAAGTTAAGTCAGGTCTTCTGGACAGACTAAAAAAAAAAAAACTTGGTGAAACGTTTCGCCTTTAATCCAAAATTCTTTGTTTAGTCTGAGGAGCTGCAGTAAACTCAGTCTTATAAATAGCCCCTTATCATAGTCGATAAACCAGTTTGTTATTGACATCCAGAACTAGCTGTTCACATGATAAAGGAGGACCATCAGCGTAATAACTGATCGTTAGTTGATGGCCACTTGCTATTCACAGGGAGCAGAGTGATACTAACAATAACAGCATTGTAAGAGGGGGACCTGACTTTCTTAGATTTTTCTTCCCAGATTACTGAGCATGCATCAGGATGAACTGTATTACAGTATTTTATGTGGGAGCTCATTGGGTTAATGGTGTTGATGGTTTGGGTCTCACTCAAACTTTATGTTTAATCAGCAATTTTCACCTTTTATTTTGCTCACATGTATTTCCACCTTGTTTTCCAGGAGTCCAGCCAAACGTTGCTCAGGTTCTGCTTCCCGTATGACGTACAAAGGTGAGTGGGAAATGATCAAATAGTAGCTACAGTATCCATTTATATATATATATATATATATATATATATATATACGTTCACTGTTCAATGCACTCGTGTGCTCAGGGCGAGGGATGGATTCATCGTGCAGAACTTCACTTTCGTCCTCACCGACCTTGAGGGATGCCAGCAGTTCGGCTTCTGTCGTCTCACCAGCAGCACTCACAGCTGCCTTTGCATCCTCAGGTAGCGTTCTCATCTCGCACGTCACATTTGCAGCATCTTTCATAACGAACCCGACTTCTTTCTGTTGGATACAGCTATCTTCCATGGTTCGAAGTATTTTACAAACTTCTCAACAACTTGGCTGATTACCTCGCCAAAGCGCAGGTGAGGACTGAACTTGACAAACCGCTAAGGTCCGTCGGAGCATCCCAACGTGAACGTTTTGTCTCGAACAGGTTAATGAGACGAAAGCGCTCCTGGCTGCGCTCTACAAACAGTCCACACCTCTGGCTGATGGGTCCGTCACTCTGCAGATGGTAATTCCCTCAATTATCCAGTCCCATCCAGGAGAAACAGTTGACTTTGTGTTGTTCTGTCAGTGGTATTGCGTGTTGTGTGTTTTTTTTTCTGAGGGAGAGCAGATTTTGATCGGTACAGAGTTGTCCCATTCTGTTGGACACACACAGGGACAAGAGGGGGTGAGTTCCACAGGAGTTTATGTGGTCCTGAAGCAGATATCAGCCATAAACACAAACTAACCCCTGCTGGAAAACGTCGGCTACCTGAGCTCCTCGGCTTTACGTGTGGATTCAAACCTCGTGACTCACCTGCTCTGAAGGGATCATACATGTTTATGTCAAACTTAACCCATCTCTCCTTGGCTAACTGTTATTTTAGTCTTTGCATTAATCATTAATCACCGTGAATGTTTATTGTTAATATTGTTGCTTGAACAGAAAATGTTTGTTTAATAACTCTGTGTGGCTCCAACCTGTACAGCTCAAACTTTTAATTTTGAGTTTTATTCCAAAATTAAAAATGGATCACCATCAAATGCAGCTCTGCACTGTGGAAAATATGAATTTAAAATTCAAATAGCTAAAAAAAAGTAACAAGACTTGACTGACATGGTGACTCTATTGTTTACCAGTGTAACGGTGGGATTCGCAGTTAATTTACAATGGGCTCGGGAAAACTGAACATAAACTTTGTTTCTAACAATTTAAAGAGTTTTATGTACAAGTAAAGTGTCTTTAATGGCTATTATAAAGAAAACATTGCAAACACCCTATGAGAACAGATTTTTAATATCGTGGGGATACAGTAAAATATTAAATAAATCTGTATTTGATGGTAGATTTGGTCTAAACTAGGGGTTCTCAAATTTCAGGGACCCCCTCATAACCCTCATGTTTATTAAATAATTGTCTTCAATTTGTCTCTTTAATGCAATGGAAATATTTGTGCAACATAAATACTTAAGACCTGTTCTTTAATAGAGCTAATACAGTTTTTATACTTTCAAACATGGGGTATTTTTCATTCAAGGCACAATTAACAAAACTCAATTTCAACTTCCAAAAATTACAGTTTTGAGAACATGAACAGCATCAAAAACAGCAAAAAAGAAATGTACCTATTCACATAATGAACATAAATGTTTCCAGTTTAAAAAAGTTTTCCAATGACTTCTTCAAATTATTGCAGAAAACTCTTTACATAAAACTGAACAGAATCGTAACAGCAGTAGTCAAAAAGTGGGCGGGGTCTGGGGCTCCTCCCCCAGAAAATTTTGAAAAAAGTAGATGTGATTTCCTGCATTTTGTTGTATTTTAACGGGTACAAAAAAGTTTTAACGGGTTGTTAAACATCTATATGCTTGTAAATATATATATATATATATATTTATTCATTTTAATTTTTTTTTTTTTACGGACCCACAAGCATCAACTCATGGACCCCCAAGGGTACGGGGACCCCTGTTTGAGAACCACTAGTCTAAACATCTAAGATTGGAATGAAATCTAAAATTTTTACTGCATTCGTAAAGAAACTATCCATGTTTAAACCGATGTCAAACTCTGACTTTTGTTTCATTTAATTTCTTTGGACAGATTCCATATTTCATCGCTCCAGATCCAAGAAGTCTTCCTTCCATCCCTGAAAATGTGAGCATGCTTGGTTGCACTAGCTTTAGAATTTTTTATTTTATTTTTTCCACTTTTAACATTTTGGATGAAACAAGCTAATCTTTGTGCGTTTGCTGGTTTTCCAGAGGAACCTAACGGAGATGATTGTAGCAGTAGATGTTGGGAACCTCCTTCAGCTTTATGCCAGCATGCTGTTCGAGAGACGCATCCTCATCTTTGCCAGCAAGCTGAGCACTGTAAGAAACTAATTTTGGTTTGCTATCTTTTTAGTTTCATATTTATACCTGGGTGCAGAAGTGTATTTATATATTAGAACCTTTATCAACCGAGACTTATATTTGGCATGTCCGTTTTCTTATTTTTGCAAGGCTTGTATGAATTCATCGTTCACAGAATGAAGCTGTAAAAAACAGACGTCATCAGATGTCTGCCATGTGTGTGTGTTGTGTTAAAAACTGTTCTCTGTTTGTGTAGCTGACATCTTGCGTGCATGCGTTCAGTGCTGTGTTGTACCCCATGTACTGGCAACACATCTTCATACCTGTCCTGCCTCCACACCTGCTGGACTACTGCTGGTGAGGTCCAATCAATAATCAATCAGTCTTCCATCTAAACTTATCTTAGTCTTCTGAAATGGTGCTTTCTCCTTTTTTCCTTGTGGTCACAGTGCTCCAATGCCTTATCTAATTGGAGTCCACACAAGTCTCTCTGAGGTAAAACGCCCTCGTATCCCACCTGTTGCATGAATTCATCAGGTTTGTCTGAATATGTTGACAACTGATGGATCTGTGTCTGTCAACTAGAGGGTGAGGAGTCGTGGCTTGGAGGAAGTGGTTATTCTTAATGTGGACACAAATACACTCGAAACTCCATTTGATGACCTTAAAAGGATACCTTCAGACGTGGTAAAGATATATTATTTGTTTCATAAGCTGCATCCGTTGAAAGATAAAGTTCCGCTGATTTGAATAATAAGTTAAACCCGATACTTGTTTAATAAATTTTTTTCCCCACTAAAGATTCCTCCACAACCCGGGGGGTTGAGGTGTAGTAGAGGAGTTTAGGTATTTGGGTGTTTTGTACGAGTGATGTTAGGATGGGGGTGGGAGATGGACCGACGGATTGCAACCTCATCCTCAATAATGAGGGCGTTGCTTCAGTCAGTCACAGTGAAGAAAGAGCTGAGCCGAAATGCAAAGCTCTTGATTTACTGCTCTGTCTACGTTCTAACCCTCACCTATGGCCGTGAAGTTTGGATCATGACTGAAAGAATGAAATCCCGTTCAGTCTATTTTGTATCAACGATGAAATTGTAATTATTTGTCCAGACGTCCAGACTGAAGGTTTGCTTGAAGCGTCAGGCGGTGTCACCTGGCTGCGGTGTGTCCTGGGCTTTCCTGAAAGCTCAGGCTCTGCTGTTTGGAGGATACAGGGATGCTCTGCAGTGCAACAAGGTCTGTCATTCATTGAATATTCAGTGTAAATATAATAAATGTGCGTACAAATTTAAAGCGATTTTGTTTCTGCTGTTGCTGTGCCCATTTCTCAAAGGATAAACAACTGTCTTTACAGGAGGGTGAAATACAATTTTATGAAGAACTTTTTCTTAATCACAAATCTCCCAGCATGAAGCAGTTCCTGCAAAGCGCCGTTCATTTGCAGTTCTTCAAACAGGTAACAGCGCCCTCTGCTGGACACATGTGGCACTGCAGCTGTGGTCATCTTTCAACAAGAAAAACGTTGAAATTGGGTGAAATGTTACAGCTGGTTAATAATAATATTTCTGGACTCTTTTTTTTTTAAAGATTGTCAAAATGACTGTTTTGATTTTGCTTGTGTTTTTTCTGCTTTAGTTCATTGATGGTCGTCTGGATATTCTGAACAACGGAAAGGAACCAGATGATCTATTTGAGGAAGAGATAATAAAATGTGAAACAAGTGGTGTGTATTTGTTTGTACTTGTATGGGGTGCCGTTTGTAACGTTACACAGTCAAAATTTAACAGCAAGTATTTTGGTTTACCCTTTCATAAGAAAAAAACGTTTTTTTTCAAAGTCATATTTTTACCATGTTATTCATACACTTATAAATGGCATAGTTCCAAACTAGATATTTAATTTCCAAGTTAAATATAATAATAATGTGTTATGTGTTATCATTGTATGCTCCCATTTAACTGCATTTAACCCATCCACCCCCAGGTGGAGCAGTGGAAAGCTACTGAGGGTGACTGGGGTGTCCTGCTCAGATGCACCACGAGATGTGCAATGACTGGGGATCAAGCCTGGGACTTTAGGGTCCCAGGTCAGCTGCCCTGCCCCTACCCCATCTCTGCCCCCATATTTAGTTTACAAACTAAATACTTAACTTGCAAGTTAAATATTTAGTTAGCAAACTAAATATTTAGCTCCACACTAAATATATAGTTTACAAACTAAATGTTTATGTCCAAGCTAAATGTTTAATTTACAAACTAAATATTTAATATTTAGTTAGTAAACTAAACATTTAGGTGTATATTAAATATTTAATATCCAAGCTAAATATTTATTTTCAAAACTAAACATTGCCAAACTCAATATTTATTGTCCAAGCAAATATGTAGTTAACAAATTAAATATTTAGTTTAGGAATTAAATGTTTAGTTTGGAAAAATAAATATTCAACTTGGAAATTAAATATTTAATTTACACCTAAATATTTAGTTCAATAATTAAATATTTAACTTGCAAGTTAAATATTTAGTTTGGAACTATGTCATTAATAAATGTGTGAATAACGTGAAAAATATGACTTTGAAAAAAAACCCTTTTTTTTTCTTATGAAAAACTTAATAAACCAAAAATATTGCTGTTAATTTTTGACTGTGTAACTTTACAAACGGCACCCCATATGCTTGTACGTGTTTTTATTGCTAATTTAACTCATGTTCTCTTATTTCTCACTCAGGAAGAAGCAAATCTTATCAGCAGTTGGTCGGTAATTTAAAGGTAAATTTATATGTGGCTGCGTGTTTTAAACCCTTTGCACTGAGAAGTCCAACATGATTGCATTTGTATGTTTGACAGAAAGGGGGCGGAGCTCTAATCCTCAACATGAAAACCAAAGCAAATATGAGAGTGAGCACAGACAGATTTAGTTTCACTGGGAGGGGTGGGATGAGTCTTGTGCTGCATTTGTGGGTTCTGTCAATAACACGTTCACCAATCCTCCCAACAGACTAAAGGCTTCACCAAGTCAGGTTTAAAAAACCTGCTGATTCACAAGGTAGGCTCACATGTGTCTGTGGGTTGACACATTTAATTGTTAGAAGTTCAGTTGTGCTTTTATGACGATCGTGTGTATATTATAGAGCCACAATGAAAATCAAATCCTTCATCGAGGTGGGTCGATGTCACATCGTCGTGCCCAGTCTGACAGCTTGCAGAACCGCCTGCCAATCACTCAACATTTTGGGAAGGTGAGATTTCACCTTTTTGGCCACCAAGTGCAAATCTCTATAAAACAAAGTGTCTGATTAAACAGTTAAAAAGACAGTAATACAGACTAATGTCATCTTCTTGTCAGTCACGACCCCGTCGGCCAACTTTCAAACGCAAAGACAAAGAAAACACAAAGGACACGGATGTTGTGTGGGAAAGGTGAGGACCACTGAGCTTTGCACTTTTAGCTTTAAACTTTTAATCTACTCTGGGATACTTTTATATTACTTGAACATTTTACTTTTTTCTTCCACTGTATGCATTTCTCATCGTCAGGCACCGAAGGGTAATTTAAAAAAATAATACTGCGGTGAGAAAAAAAATTGTGAACCAAACAGGATGAATTCAGACATTTATCAGATCGTTTCATTTAATTAAAAAAAATAATTAAAAAAAGCAGTCTTAGCATTCATAACTTCAAAAAAGTTCACGGTTTAAGGTATCAAAAAAATTACCACAGCAAGCAACGTAGATGGACATCATACATGAATGGACGACAAGAGGGTGAGATTTGTCCATGACCACTTCCAGGTAGTTTCCATAGTCCTGATAAGATGTTACAGTGTCTCTCAGCCGGTACAGCTCTGATAAGCATTCACAGAAATTCCAGGGGTGGGTGGGGGATGGACAGAGCAGAGCTTCTTTATTTACATATCCACCAGGAGCAATGTGAGATAAATTGGTCTTACAAGGCCGAGCGGGGAGGCCAGATTCAGGTAAACAACAGTTGTTTGGGCAGGCAGACTCTGGTTCCTGTCTGCCTTCAGTTCTGCTGGAACTCTTGCTGGCGACTCCAAACAGACAGATTTGTGGACATTCTGCTGGTCTGTGCTTCGTTAGCTTTTCTCCAGGGTCGAATCCATCATGCCGGCGAGTTCCAGACGTATGTGTCTGAGAGCTTGAAGCACAAATTAATCCATCACATGAGGTTGGCAGCTTTACCATGGCCGAAACTGCTGCCGACGTCTTCCTAATTTGTCGATGTCCTAGGTATCCACCGATCCAAAAAGCAGAAACCCTGTTATCATAAATCCAAGTATGTACACGTCTTATCCATGACACACCCAGCTGTGTGCGTCCGCTCAGGCATGAGGGCTCTCCAGCACCCTGTCTCTTGAAAAAAAGTTATCAATTGCATTGAGAGACCAGATGACCAGATCCATGATAATAATTTACGATTCGGAAGATGTGTAAAGGGAGGCTCCGATACGCAGGACAAAGAGCAAAAGCAGGAGGCAGACAGGAGAGGGAAGAAAGCGTCCGTCTTGTTCGAGGGCAAGTGAGAAAATTTTTTATTTGTTACAGAGGACGTTTCGCTTCTCATCTGAGGAGCTTTCTCAATTCAAAGAACAGAGAGTGTGGGGTTTGAGTTATAAAGCTGAGGTAAGCTAGAAGCATATGCAGATTGCACTATCACTCCTCACAATACAGGTTCGTTAGGGTCTTTGTTAGTTTGACTCACAGTGGAGCCACATGGATGAAATTCCTTATAGATGTGAAAATGACTGTATCCGACCTAAAGCTGCATTATGTTTTAGAAAGTTGAAATCTGAGGCCTCCTCCTCTGTTTAAAGATGGTTTCTGTCGTTTTACAGAAACAGCTTCCTTCACCCAGGGCTTAATTTGAGCTGGATCCTGCCAGAACAAGTTCCAGGAACTCTCTTATTTTGACCGGGTGCGTTCCAGCGTTGTGCCAAAAATCGATTGGCGCCGCAAGAGCGCACACGAGAGAACTCGCTTTTCCAGTTCTTCAAAATTTAACAAGATTAACACCTAAAAACAATTGTTTGTTTGCTAGAGATTATAGCAAAGGTGTGTCTCCATTTAACTTTTCATGAATAAATGCACTTTAATGGTCTAAAAAGCTTCATTTCACCTACTTGTTAAATTACAAGCCATAACCAGTGTTTGGCGGCTCTTAATCTCTTTGGCAGGCAGGTGGCATGAAGCTTTTTCTTACCATTATAGTGCATTTATTAAGGAAAAGGTAAACAGAGACACACCTTTGCTTTAATCTTGAGCAAACAACAGTTGTTTTTAGGGGGCTAATCTTGTTAAGCTTCGAAGAACTGAACCAGTGAGCGTGCGCCAATCAATTTTTAGCAGAGCAGAACTTCTTGGCACAACACCGGCATGGATCAGTTTACAAATGAAGCCCTGCTTCACCCCCCTCTCAAGCCATCTGTCTTCTCGGTCCAAAACATGAACATTTAGATCCTCAAACGAGTGTTCCTTCTCTTTGAGGTGTATACCACTGAGTCCAGTTGTTTTTGTCTTGAACTTTTTGGTACCATGTCCTGGAAGACAGAGAATCTTCACCAGCACTTAGCATTCATAGTTTGAGTCTACATGCTCAACTTTAAACTTTAAATGTGATGTGTCAGGAAATTGGTAATGAAGTTGGTTCTGGTAAGTTTTGAAGAAAGAAAATCCGCGGCTGTGGTCAGGATTCATGAGATCGAGTTAACGTATAACTCTATAACTTGATTAGCATCAGTTTGTGGGTAATTTATTCGTTGTGTGCTATGGAGAGGCACATGTCCATGTGCAGAAGAAGGCACAGTTTAGTCAGTGAGGTGTCAAAGAGGCACACACTGATCCAGAAGATCTTTGCATTATTGGAAGAAACTGTCCAAAAATAAATAAATGCTACCAGATCAATAGCACCGCGACACAGAGCGAAGACCACTGCTGCATTCGTTTAAGGTTTGACGTGTGAAACATCAGTTTTATTTAATGTTTCATTCCTAAAGGAATCAATGCTCTCACTGTTTTTATTATACATGTTTTATTATTTATTCTGTATACATATTCTGATGTGGTGAGTATTTATTAAATGTCTATTGAGGTTCGTTATGGCCAAGAAATGCTAACATGAGACTTTCCCCAAGTGAGAAAAACGCAACTTCTGTTTCAAAACGTATGTGCAAAAAGAAAAACTATTATTTCTTGGCACGGTGGCTCAGTTGGTAGAGCTGTTGCCCTTCAGAGAGAGTCGCCAGATCAAATCCCGGTCCGGGGGCCTTTCTGGGTGGAGTTTACTTGTTCTTTCCGTGCATGCGTGTGTTTTCTCCAGGTACTCCGGTTTCCTCACAGACCAAAAACATGTTAGGCTGATTGGGAACTCTAAATTGTCTCTAGGTGTGAGTGAGAGAGTGAATGTTTGTCTCTATGTGTCCCTGCGATGGACTTGTGACTTGTCCAGGGTGTCCCCTGCCTCTCACACAGTGACTGCTGGATATGGACACCAGTGACCCCCGTGACCTGAAAAGGAAGAAGCGGGTAAACGATAACGGATGGATGTTGAAATTTTAGTGACATTAACATCCGCTAATCTGTGACTGTGTTTTGTGAAATTTAGCAAAACCTAATCTAGATTACGACTTCCTGGAAAACCTTTTTATCAAATGATATTCATTCATTATTACAGTAAAAGCTTTGCATCAACTTATCTCTGTATTTACTTGGAAATACAGTATAACTAATGCTGATGTAGTTTAATGGGAATTTGCAACTTCAGTTCAACAAGACGTTAAAAACAAATCACAGCTATGACTTCATTTATCTAAATCTATGCAACACATCACTTGTTGCATAGATTTAGACGATGCAGCATAAATTAACCTTTAAATGTCATTTTACATCCGTTTTATTGGTCATACTAGTTCCGTATTTGTTTGATACCAGAGCTGTGTCCGGGCCCGCGGACGAGCCAGATTCTGAGCTCCAGAAGGATGATGAAGACGAAGACGGTGACGAGTCCCCGCGGTGTGACTCAGAGGAGATGGATCTTCTTGGGGAGATCTTTGACACACTCAGCGCACGCAGCTCCCACGATCGGGGCGTGCTGTACGGCACTCGCAGCTTGGATTTGTTTGGACCGGACAGCCACGACTTTATCACAAAGGTAAGACAAACACTCAGACACAGGTAGAAATGAAAGTCTCCTTTCTGATGAATCTGTGTCCACCAGTGCGGTCCAGCCAACCCCAGCCAGGAGAGCCTGTCTCTGTCCATCAGTGGCAGCGGCAGTCTGCACAGCTGGAATCTGGAAACCACCGAGGAGCTGTCAGATTTGACGGAGGACTCCGATTGTCTGTGGCTGGACACCAGCTTGCCAGAGGAAGAGGGGGCGGAAAATCTTCCCGTGGCACATGAAATGATGGAGGGACAGACGGAGGACAGAGAGAAACAGAAAGAAACGAATGCAGCGATAAACAGGAAGCAGGCCGAAGAAGAAACGCACAACAGAAATAACTTTCAGGAAGTGAAGTTAGAAGAAGAGAAGACACAGAAAGACCCCAGGGAGGACGGTGTAAATGAAACGACTGAAGCAAAAGAAAATGAAGGGTTGAAAGAGAAAAGGAAAGACGACAAATGTTGGAGTGAGGAGGAAGGACACGAGAGAGAAATAAACAAAATACAACAAAGTGTGACTGAGGAGGAGGAGAAGGTGACAAATGTGAAGAAGAGTAATGGACCTAAAGAGCTTTTAGACATGCGCATAAAACTGAATTCTGTGGAAGAACAAACTGCAGTCCCTCCTGAGACTCAGATCCACGCTGAGGACCTTAAACCTGCAAACAATCAGGAGCAAACGAGAGAAATTCCTCCGAAGAATGAAAAGCAAGCGGTCCAACCGACGTCCTCTCCGTCCAAAGTCACGTCTGCTGCAGCACGTTTCCAGTCTCAGGCGTCCACTCATGGTTTCCAGATAAGGTCCATACCGAAGGTTTCAGCTGAGTCTGTGTTTCGCTGCAGGGAGAAAACACAAACTCACCCGCCGGGTGAGTCGGACTCAAACAAGAGCACCGAGACACCTGAGGAGGAAGAGCTGCCCCCGCTCAAAGTGTCTGAGCTGAAGAAACGATTTGAAGCATGAAAGAATAATGCTTAAAGGTTTGCTACTGTGAGAAGATAAAACCAATACAGACATCTCTTTGCATTTCCCAAGACAAGCTGTGAGGTCATCAGCTGCTGCTGAAGATATAAAAACTGTCAATTTGGTTTAAAAAAAAAATTAAATTAAAAGACCAAAACATCTTAAACTAGAGGATCATTTTAGAGTCAAAATAACACAAACGGGAAAATGATGCATCTGTGGAATGGTTTCATTTTGCATGTCAGCAGGAAGGTCCAGGACTATCGAGTCATCACCACAGTATATACACATGAAAACAACCCATTTTTAACTGGTTAACCACCATGCTAAAGGTGATCATGGTTTTGTCCCATGTCTGTATGAGTGTGTACAGTTGGGCTGTATGGACTCATTAAATAGATTTTAATAAAACTTTTCAGAAAGTAATAATCGGATGGACATCAGCTGATAAACTTTTAAGGTCAACCCAATTCAAGACGGCCGCCACAGCAAAGCAGTGAGTAATAACTTTACAAAAATGGCTGTAACTCAGTCAGTTGTAACAATATTGAGCTAAACTTTGGTGTAATAATAGCTGGGAGTCATCCACAACTCATATTCCAAGTACTACCAGATAATGTAATATCACACAAAATACTGCAATATTTCATGAATGCAAGGAATGTGATTTTTCAATCAAAAAGTATCTATAACTGTCATTTCGTATATGATATAGTTTAAAACACTGGCGTGAACAACTTCAGAGAATGGTTGACCTTTTATCGAGGACATTTTCTCACATTTCTTATTTTTTATGACAGAAAAATATTTTTTTTAAAACACTGAGATCACAGACCTGTCTGAAACCATTAAAGCATCTTTCTTGTACTGGATCATTTACATTCCTGAAATAAAGAAGATTTTGTGGGAATGTTGCTCTTCTGGTTCTTCCCTACAAAGTTGGCACACTTTGAAGAATAGTGTGAATTTTGATGAAGTATTCACTAATGTGATCCATTTTTCTTTCCTACGTTTTTCAGCATATTTTCCGTTCTAAATATTTTGTGCTATTTCAACAAATACTTTATCAAAACGTTCAGCTCTTTCAGGAGAAGGGTGCTATGACTTTTGGCATTGGTGCAACTTTAACTTTTTGAAATATTTAGCCTTTTCTGCCTTTTTTTTCCCTCATAGAAGATGAACCGAGCTCATTTTACATCCTTCAGATCTTTAGATCTGTTTACAACCTTTCACTGCTCCTTTCACATTTTGTTCTGCTTCAACTTCTTTCAGCTTCCTTGTGCAAAGTTAAACTTTTACAGCTACTTTCAGCAAATTTTGGCTGTTTTGTGCTCCTTTCAGCTTTTCTGCTAACTACAACATTTTTGTGCTTCTTCCAGTTTCAGCTTGTTATACTCCTTTCAGCTTATTTATGCAAGTTTAAGTTTTTTCAGCTAATTCAGTTACCATTTAGCCATTTTATGCTAATTTTAGCTTTTTCAGCTAAATCCATATTTTTTAACTCATTTCAACTTTTGTCAGCCTAATTCAGCAAAAATGTGCTCTCCACTTCCTTCATGTAATTTAAGCTTCTTTCCACCTTTTTTTAAAAGCTACATTTCAGCTGTTCTTAGCTTTTTTTAAGATCATTGTCCCTTTTTTGCTAATTTCTGCTTCTTTCAGCTGAATTGGGCAAACTTCTGTCTGCTTTCTTAAAGCTAATTTAAGCTTGTTTATCTTTTCATCTACTTTTAAGCATTTGAAGTTAATTTCAACTGTTTTCAGATAAATTCAATTTTTTGTTGCAATTTCTGCTACTTTAAGCCTAATTAACTTCTGCTAATTTCAGCTTGTTACTCTTTTCAGCTTTTTTCTGCTAGTTTCAGCTTTTTCAGCTATTTCAGCTACTATTTAGCTGTTTGTGCTGAATTTAGATTTTTTAGTTTTTAGCCAATTCCACATTTTGAGCTCATTTCACCTCCTTCCACTTCCTTCTGGTAATTTAAGCTTCTGAAAAGTAGCCTTTTTAAGCTACTTTTCTGCTATTTTTGCTAAGTTCAGGTTTTTTTTTTTTTTTTTGGTTGTTGCTAATTTCCTCAGTTTTGTGCTAATTTCTGCTTATTTAAACTTAATTCAGCAAATATGTGTTCTTTCTGCTTTCTTCTGCTAACTTGGGCTTGTTCTTCCATTTCAGCATGCTTAAGCTAATTTCAGCCGTTTTTCAGCAAGTAATTCTGCAGTAAGCATTCACACTGCATTTTCACAGGAAACAATTTCTCTAGTTCATTATCTCACAAGATATGAAGTTTACTAAACTACAGCTGTTATATTTTTATTTCAACACTCACAGCTAAAGTTAAAAGAAAAAGGAGCATTTCCTTATGTACACATTGATGCATTTTAATCCCAGCTCATCTTGTGCTCCAATAATACAGATTATTTCTTCTATGAAATTGAGCCTTAAACTTGATTCCTAAAAAAAAGTGCATCACAGTTGGTGTTCGTATTCAATGTTCATAAATGGAAACACAAATACTTACTCTAAACATATACAACACGGTGATAAAACCTCCCAAAATGTGTATAAATACATGTTCCACTTCGGCTCATGTTTGTGTGGTTAAAAAAAAATGCAGTGGAATATTTAAACAGCAGTGAGCAAACCTTTTATATCTGATTGATCAGTCCCATTTGTTGCCACTGACAATGTAAGAAGTAATGTTAGAAAAAAGCATCTGAAAACTCCTGATGGAAACATTAAAAGTTATCCATTTATGCAAACTTCACAAAAAATTAAAGTTTCGGCTCTTAAATGAGGCGTTCTGATTTGGGTAAAGGTAGAGGCAGGTCGGGCCTTTCAGGTCCGACTGCTCTCGTCTGTTTCTTCTCCTCCGCACTGGGACGATACGTTCCCTCATTCCCCCTCTTCTTCCGGAAGACACACAGCAGGACCAGCAGGAGCAAAGTGAGCAGGGAAGACAAGCTGAAGATGAACGATGACATCACAGGCGGGGTTAACACCTGGACCACCAGGTGACGTGCTGAAGAGGGGAGAAGAACCGCAGGCAGGACAGGGAGACGAACGGTAAAAAGAAAAGCACAACTTCTGATAAGAAAAAAGTCGTCATTTCAGAGAGTTTATGAATTTAATCATTTAGCATCTGTCCAGTGTTCAGCATCGTCTAAAGTTGCACAGCTGTTGTTGGTGTAAACATATTTTTCCCATCATTCTGCACAAAAACATAAAGAAAATGTGGGTTGTGTCCAAAGATGCTGTAAGATCAGGTAAGGCGATTGCTCTTCCTTCTGATTCAAATTGACTCCGTACAGTTTGAATGAAGTACGCAAGTCGAACACTGCAGCCGAGTTAGGATTAGAGTCACAACTTTAATGTTCCAAAGACTCAACTGGATATTGTTTAAATTGAAAATACATAAATCTTCCTCACAAAAACAACATTTATTGTTGTGAACTCTTTCAGGGATGAAGATGTGCACATCCTTGATAGAGAGGAACGTTGGTTTGAGAGAGGAGCGAAGGAATCTTTGTGAAGAGAAACTGTCCGTCATTAAACAGGGACAGAGTCCTCCGCGTCCAACCGTCCCCCCTCTTACGTTGTTGTTATTGCTAGTATCACTCAGCCCTCTGTGAATAGCAAGCGGCCATCGACACCAACGATCATTCATTAAGACTGAGTTTAGTGCAGCTCTTCAGACTGACGAAGTCTTTTGGACAAAAGACGAAACGGTTCAACGTTTATTTTTATTTTTTAATCTGTCCAGAGGACCTTACTTAACTTTGTTAGATACAGTTGTGTTTAGTAAAAAATAAAATAAAATCCTTAAAATTCACAGAATTAAGAATCAAGTTTTACAAAGAGTTCGATTTATTTATATCTAATATACTTTTCGGACTACAAGGTGCACTTAAAATCCTCTAATTTTCACAAAAATCAACAGTAAGCCTTATAATACTATAATAATATGGTTGTGCTTACTGACCTCAAATTGATTTTATGTTGTACACAGCGCTCAAAAATATGTCAATGTTTTTGTTTTGCTTAATTATAGTCCGAAAAATACGATAACATTTATTTTACCTCTTAAACTTGTGTGATTTGTCTAAACACTTGGAGGGAAGGAAAATAATACATTTTTAAAAAAGACCTGCATATTGAATCATAAAATAAATGATAATGTTTGAACATTTGCCCAGTCTATTGTTTATTAATCATAATTTATATGCAGTTTCCTGGAGACAAGTGCTGATATTTTGTCCAAATCTAATATCAAAACCGTCACTGTGTGTCAGTTGAGACAAAAAAAAAAAAAAGGTAATTTGTCTCCACACAAACATAAATTCCTGATAATAAATAACGTGATAAAATAAAAAGTTTAGATTTTGCTTTGTTGAAATTCTAATTTTCTTAATACTCAGTTACAGAAAAGCAGAAGTGAACTGAGGCTCACCTGCGTGGAGAATCCAAAGTGTTCCTCAGGCCTGTGTTCTTACATCTGGACCAAAACAGCATGCGCAAGACTGAAGAAACAACAAAGTACATTTTAATAATGTGCAAAAAAGAAAACCCTACCGCGTTAACATTTAAAATAAACAAAAGACCATCACATTTCAAGTTATCAATACATTATGCTCTATGAAATGTTAAGACGATAAAATCAATTAAAGCTACATCCTCAAACCAGGAATAGCTGGGGTTTTATCCTTGAACTCAGATTTGCATTTAAAACTCAGTAAATCTGTAACACGAAATCAGCAAAAAGAAAAAGGACAAATATTGTTTTTTTTATATAAAAATAAATTTTTGCTGAAAGTATAAAAATATGAAGAAATAATAATAGGAGATGGAAAGAAAAGAAGCAAAGTTGCGAGCTGATCAGGAAGCCTGCAGCTGGCCGAGCAGCTAAACCGACTGTCGAGGAAGTTTCCTTCAGACAGATCTTATCAGCTGAACAAATATGTCTTTGCTTTAAGCTAGTCAGGACAAACATGAGAACACTGCGCTTTACTAGATGACACACACTACAAACTTCTTAGGAACACCCAAGCCTTGCAGGGCTCAGTTCATTAAACTATGCGTCCACTTTATGTAGTTCAACTCTACAAAGCATCGACTCAAAGGGTGAGGCTAAACCGTGTTTGCTGCGTTCGATGCGCTATTACGATTCAATTTTAAGAAATATATTATAGTCCGATTGGGTCAGTGCTATATGAGGACAGCAGGACAGTGGTGTGCTATATGAGTGACAGGTAGCGTCAAGGTGGAGATGGGAGTGCATCAAGGATCGGTTCTGAGCCCCTTCTTGTTTGCTCTGGCGATGGACCGACTAACAGATGAGGTCAGGCAGGAATCCCCATGGACCATGATGTTTGCAGATGACATTGTGATCTGTGGTGAGAACACGGAACAGGTGGAGGTATGCACATGAAAGAAGAGGAATGATAGTCAAGTGGAACAGTGAGGCTATATAGGAGCAGAGGTCACAAAGGACTTCAAGTACATGGGGTCCACTGTCCAGAAAAATGGTGAGTATAGTAAAGAGGTGAAAAAGAGAGTCCACGCAGGATGGAGTGGATGGAGAAAAGTTTTAGGAGTGATTTGCGACACAAGGTCAAAGGAAAAGTTTACAAGACAGTATTGAGACCAGCTATGTTGTCTGGTCTGGAGACAGTGGCAATGACAAAAAGACAGGAGACAGAACTGGAAGTGGCAGAAATGAGGATGTTAAAGTTCTTCTTAGGAGTGACAAGGATGGATAAGATTAGGAATGAGATCATCAGAGGTACATCACAAGTTGAACAACTGCAGATAAAGTTAGAGACTGAGATGGTTTGGACATGTCCAGAGGAGGGACAGTGGGTATATTGGTAGAAGGATGTTAGAAATGCAGCTGCCAGGAAAAAGACAAAGAGGAGATATATGGATGCAGTTAGAGAGGACATGGAGGTAGTTGGAGTGAGGACAGAGTGAGATGGAGGAGGATGACTTGCTGTGGCGACTTCTGAAGAGGGAAAAGCTGAAAGAAGAAGAAGAAGAAGAAGAAGATTTTTTTTTGATTTTTAACAAAAACGTTTATTTACAATTTATCAAACAACAAACACAAAATTAAAAACAAAGTTCACATCTGGGGTAAAATCACTTAAAGAAGGTGTTCGTTGTATTGCAGTTCATCATTTGCAGATATATTGCACAACACCCCGCCGAAGCTCCACGTTTTCAAAAACCCTTTCGTGTCCCCAGTGGCTCTGTGGAAGCAGAACTCCAGCCTCAGCCTGGTCTTGACGTTGCACCTCCACAGCGCCACCGCGTCGAGCTGAGGTCCGGCTTGCAGCCTGTCCCTTCGAGATAAATAGATAGCCATTTTGGCTTCAGCAATTAAAAAGTTTAAAAGCTGGCCCTTCGGTTTGTTGGCTCTGTTGAAGTAAAATCCATAAATGAAAACAGAATCAGTAAAAACTACACCAAAAAGGCTAAAAACATTTGTCAATAAACTAAAAAAAGGTGTCAGTCTCTGACAATCGATAAAAACATGAAAAACGCTCTCAGACAGACCACAGAACGGACACTCATTTAAAACCCCTGGACTAATGATGGCTAAAAACGAGTTGGTGGCGATGGCACCGTGCAGGATCCTCCACTGGAGATCACCCGTCCTCTTTCTTATAGGTGGTTTGTAGAGGGTCCTCCACCGGGGGGTCTGTCCTCTCAGCTTCTCGGCCCACACGCTGATGGCTCTGTGCAGCAGGGTTCTTTTGTTCGTGACCTTGACGCAGTTTCTATACAGAGTCTTTGGGCCGGTACTGCGTAAGTTCATGCGTGGCGTCGTGCTCGATAACAGAGGACCACTGTCTTCATCGAAGCCAGGATCCAGGAACAGATCTGGGAACGGGTCTGTTGACTCCGGTGGGTTCTGTCCTGCAGAGAGAAGACGCCACTCTGTGGCCGACAGCTTGCTCCTCACCAAGTCCAGGAAGCGCTGTGCAAGTCTGGCTGACCGGACCCCCAGCCTGGAAACCACGGCTTGGGTGTTGGAAAGGTCCGGTCCAGCTGCCCCCACCAGTTGTTTCAAGGACGTCGTCTTGGACCTGCACAGCACCTCCGTCAGTCCCGGTACTGCGCTGCACGACACGTCCAGCCTCGAGCCACAGACTAAAGGTTCTTCTAAAAGCCAATGCAGAGAATTACACGTGTGTGAACGAGTTAGTTTAAACAGGGCACATGATTTAAAAACACCCTGATAAAACTGAGGCAACCCGTTTAACTTTAAAAGGCTAAAATCAGTTAAAAACAGAGCAACATCCAGTCCCAGGTTATTCACACGCCTGAGAATGCAGCTGGCCACGTCCCTCCACACAAGGTCAGGAGGTCCTGCCAAAAACTTCTGGACAAACTGTAGGCGGAACGTAGCTGTTCTGCTGGCCAGGTGGACAAGGCCCTGGCCCCCCTCCTCTCTCGGTAAAAACAAAACAGACTGTGGCACCCAATGTTTATCGTTCCAGAAAAAATTAATCATTTCTGACTGGATTTTCACCAGCAGACCTGGTGGCGGGTCTAAAACTGTCAGCTTGTGCCACAGCTGCGATGCCACAAGATTATTTAAAACCAATACTCTTCCTCTGTACGACATTTTAGAGTGTAGCCATCTCCACTTTGCTAACTTGTGTTTTACTTTTGCCTCTACGTCGTCCCAGTTTTTCTGCACCACAGTTTTGTTGCCCAAATAAACCCCGAGATATTTAAAACCGTCCTTCCTCCAGCCAAGACCGTGAGGGAGAACTGGGAGCCCAGCAGGCCATTCCCCTACAGCGAGGGCTTCGCTCTTTTCCCAGTTCACTCTCGCATCAGACAACGTAGAGAAGGTTCTCGTGACTTTACATAGCGTGTCGACGTCCTGTTGGTCTCTTATAAACACAACAACGTCATCGGCGTAGGCGGACAAAACTACGTTGTCATTAAAACCAGGTAAAACCAAACCGTGAATACTCGAGCGTATCTTCTGAAGGAGGGGTTCCAGGGAGAGTGCGTAGAGCATCCCAGAGAGCGCACAGCCCTGTCGGACGCCTCTACTCACCCTAAAAGGAGCACACAGACTACCGTTGATCTTTAGCACACTCTCAATGCTGCTGTACAGTACCTGGATCTTGGCAATGAGACCAGCGCCGAACCCAAAGCTCTCCATGATCTTCCAGAGGAAGGCGTGCTCGACGCGGTCAAAAGCCTTTTCTTGATCTAATGAAATCAAGGCTGTTTTCAGACCCAATGAACCGGAGACTTCCAGAACATCTCGAATTAGGCAGACGTTGTCTACCATGGACCTGCTGGGGACGCAGTAGGTCTGGTCCCGGTGGATGACCTGCTCCACAGCTCCCCTCAGCCTAGTTGCCAGAACCTTGGAGAGGATTTTATAATCGGTGCAGAGGAGAGACACAGGGCGCCAGTTCTTAATGTCCTGCAGGTTCCCTTTTTTCGGCAGGAGGGTCAGGACCGCCCTGCGGCAAGACAGCGGGAGCGAACCAGTGAGCAGGCTCTCGTTGAAGACGTCTAGCAGGTCTCCTGCCAAGATGTCCCAGTAGGCTTTGAAAAACTCAACCGTGAGCCCGTCGACGCCAGGAGCCTTCTGACCCTGCATGCTCTGGAGGGCTGCGTGGAGCTCCTGAAGACCCAGAGGGCGCTCCAGGGAGGTGTTGGTCTCCTCAGAGACCTGGGGTAGTTCACGGCAGAACTCCCGCTGCAGCTCCTCGTTCACCTGATACTCGCTCTTGAACAGAGCAGAGTAAAAATCCACAGCCCTCCTCCTGATCTGACCTGGTTCACTCAACCGCTGCCCTGTGTCTGACAGCAGCGAGTGGATCATCTTCCTCTGCCCGTGTTTCCTCTCCAAGCTGAAGAAGAAGCTCGACGGAGCATCCATCTCCGTGATGTTTTGGATCCGGGACCTGACCAACACGCCTTGGACTTTAGTGTCCAGCAGGTTTGCTAAGTCTAGCTTCTTGGATTTGAGAGCCTCAATGTGCTCTCGATTTCCTGTGGATTCGCTCAGTTGTTCCAAATCCACTATATTGATCTCCAGATCTCTGATAGATCTGGTAATGTCACGAGTAACATTGAGAGTGTGCTGTTGACAAAGTTGCCTGATTTGAACTTTCCCGTAGTCCCACCATTGCCTCAGACAGGTGAAATCACCCTTCCTCTGTCTAAAAGCAGTCCAAAAATACTTTAGAGTCTCTTTAAAACTTTGGTCGTGAGTTAAAACCGAATTAAAATGCCAGTAAGCGCTTCTTGGTAAAATGTTTCTGATAAAAACACTACCTAAAAGCAGCGAGTGGTCTGTAAAAGCCACAGGTAAAATCTGGCATGTCCTAAACACGTTAAAATGGTGTTTAAAACAATAAAAACGGTCAAGACGAGCTAAAGAGATGCAATTTTCTTTAAGGTGGGACCACGTGTACTGCCTGGAGCCTGCGTGCATCCTCCTCCATACGTCCACCAGGCCATGGGACGAGACCAGCTGCCGCAGAGCGCGCTGGGCTGCTGGATGAGGCTCTGCATGATTGCGGTCTAAAGACTCGTTTTCTGTGCAATTAAAATCCCCTCCTATAAAAACATAATCCTCGGACCCACAATCCCCCAACTTTCCACCAATTTCTTCTAAAAAACGTTTTTTCTCTGCATTGGCATTAGGAGCGTAAATATTAATAAAAATTACATTAAAATGTTCAAAACCAGCCTTGACTAAAAGACACCGGCCCTGAACTATGTGTCGCACCTCTATGCGGCTGGGAGTGAAAGCTCTAGAGAAGAGGAGTCCCACTCCTGCACTCTGGGAGGTGCCGTGGCTAAAAAAGGCCTCCCCTTCCCACTCCCTGCACCACTCTGTCTCATTTGATGCATCACTATGTGTCTCTTGTAAGAGCAGAACGTCAATTTTTTTATATTTAATGGTTTGGTAAACCAGTGCACGCTTTACAGCCTCTCTAGCTCCGTTGATGTTTAAAGATGCTATTTTAAAAGAATCCATGCAAAGTGAGAGGTTTAAAAGCGGGTACAAAAAGACAATAATAAATATTAAAATGCTGGTGTTCATCATGTGTTCACAATTGTTTTCTGACCTTGCCCATGATTTTCCTTAATCTAAATACTTCTTGGTCGGTGAACCCAGATTCTGTTTTGTGCCTCAGGTAATGTCTGGCCGAGTCGTAAAACGTCTTCAGGTTTGGGAAGTACTTTTCAACTTTCAAACCTCTCAGCCCTCGTGTCTGTTTGAGGAAGGACAGGAAGGTTTCCACAGGATAGCGGGGTTCAGTGCAGTCAGCCTGTGACACAGAGGCTTCACTGAAGTCTGAGCACCAGCCCTCACTGTCACTGCTGTCCACCCCCTCCCTCATCTCTGCGCACATTTTGCTGGCTCGTGCATTGACCTCTACGTTTTTCCTTTTTCCCCTTTTTTTCACCTGGGTTGGGGCCCCCAGCTCCATCTCCTCTACAACCGCCCCTGCTTCTCCCTCCACACCAGTTCCTGACTTCTCACTTTTCTTTCCTGCACCTTTTATTTCCTCATCCACCTCCACCTCTCCTTTCCCTTCCCGATCACCACACACCAACTCCTTGTCACCCTCCTGCACTCCTTGCTCTCCGTTTCTCTCCCCCACCTCCCCTGGAGCCTCCTCCTCACCATCCACAACACCACCATTCTCCCCACCACCACCATTCTCCCCAACACCACCATTCTCCCTACCACCACCATTCTCCCCACCACTACACACCTCCGTGCTTCCACCTTTTCCCACACACATACTTTTTGTTGCTTCACCGTCCACAGCTGTCACCTCAACACTAACTTGTTCCACGTCAGCTGGGGTCGCGGACTCTCCCGCAACAGCTGCGGGAGGGGGACCCGCCGCAGCCGGGGGGTTCCCCGCAGCAGCAGCAGCAGGAGGGGTACCCGCCGCAGCCGGGGGGTTCCCCGCAGCACCGGGCGGGGCCGGTCCGGCCCTGTTTGGGCACATTTTTATTACGTGCCCCTCCTGGCCACATCCAAAACATTTCATATTCGAGGAAGTGGCAAATAAAAGATATTCAAAATCGTCCAGTTTAACATGGAAACGAACGTTAAACTCTTCCCCCCGCTTGTTCAAAATCATAAAGAGTGTTCTCCTGTGGGAGACGACATGTTTGAGAAGTGGTGATTTACACCCCGTCAACACTTTTTTAATCGGGGACACCACCTTCCCGTGTCTGGACAACTCCTTAATCAAAAACTCGTCGCTAATAAACGGGGGGACGTTGGAGAGAGTGATCTTGGTGGCTGGCAGCGCCAGTGGTGACACCTGTAGGAACAAGTCTCCCACTGAGATGCCAGCCTCGACCAGTTGTTGAGCCTTCTCCACCCTATCAACAAAGATGACCACAGCCCCGTTCATGCGGGCTGCGGACCTGATGGACCCATGTCCAACCACCTCCCCCACCGCTAAACAAACTTCCTCCACGCTGCACGGAGAACCAGCACTCACCTTGATGCCGTTTTTCCGCGTCAGCGTGGAGAAGCTTCCCGTGCTCTCCACCACCATGGCGTCTAGACGCCGGCCAGCCAGGTGCACCTGACGGCCACACCCTGTCAAACAAACTTTTTTAAACTAATAAAACACCAAACCCCACAAATAAATAATTAACAAAAACATAAACACCAAGTGAAAAAAGTAGAAAAAGGACAGAAAAAACGAATGAATAGACACTCTCACTTTCTGCTCCTCTGCTCTTCCTCTCACACCCTCCTCTCACAAGAAGAAGAAGAAGAAGAAGAAGAAGAAGAAGAAGAAGAAGAAGAAGAAGAAGAAG